AAGGTCTTCTTCTTCTCCTTCTCCTTAGCGTTAGTCCCGCCAGTCGCAAGTTCCGCTGTCTTTGTCAGTCGTCGCCACTTCGCTCTGTCTAGGGCATCTCCTGCAGTAGCCGAGATTTCACCTAGGTCTTCTTGATCACATCCTTCCACCTCTTCTTTGGGGTCCTCGCGGTCGCTTGCTTGCACTTTGAAGTCCACCGCATTCCTTATCGGTGGCCTTGCGGTCTTCTCGGCACATGTTCCATGCACCGCAGTCGTTGCTCCCCACCGTCAGCTGGACAGGGGCAGTCTACCATGACCGCTCTGACATCGTCGTTCCTGACCCTGTCCAGTCGCGGTCCAGCCACAGGCCCACCTCAGCATCCTCATCTCGCGGGTGAGGCTGCCTTTCGTGATTCTTGTTCAGGGCCAGCACTCGCTGCCATAGAGCATCGCAGGCCTTACCACTGTTCGGTACACCTTCCCTCTGAACGCTCTGGAGCACCATCGGTCGCAGAGGATTCCAGTGGACTCCCTCCATTTCATCCACTGCCGCGTTGATCCGCCCATTACTGCCTGGTCACACTGCCGTCGGCCGCTAGATCACTTCCAAGGTATTGGTAGTCCTCTACTCTTTCGATGCTTTCACCATGCCGCGTGAATGATCGGCTCTGCCACCCTCTCAGAACTCAGGAACTTGGTCTTCTTAACACTCAGGCCGTAGTCCGCCTTCTGCCAGAACCTTCTGCCATTGTTGCACCTTGGCTGTAGTTCCTCTCTACTGTCCGCTGTCAGGGCGATGTCGTCAGCGTGAAGAAATGGTCTTTAGCGGTCCTTCCATCAGCCTTTCACCAGGACATCTAGTGGTCAGGGAGGAAGAGGAACGGTCTCAGAGCCGACCCCTTGGTGCACCCCAACCGTGATATACACTTCCTTTCGTTAGGCCGTGTGGGGTGCGTATAGCTGCCTTCGCCCCATCGTACATATCCTTCACCAGCGAGACCAGGTGTTCTGGCACGCTCCGTTCCCTAAGCGCTCTCCATAGTACCGCTGGTGGTAGCCGTCGAACGCCCTTCTCCAAGTCGAGGAAGGCTAGGTAGCAGGTCGGCGCTTTTCTCGATACTTCTCCATCAATTGGCTTGCGAGCCCCAGACAATACCTAACCATTGGGGCGCGGCCGCGGCGAACGCGGCCGAGTTAGTAGGTGCCGCGAACTCGACACAGCACACTTCGCCGGCACCTTGAGTGCGTTTTCAACGGTTCGCGAGCACAATCGACTCGGCCGGTCGCCGCGGCCGCGCCTCAATGTTAGTTTTGTCTGGGGCCATATCAGGCCCAGCCAATACCTAACCATAGGGCGCAGGGCCGCGGCGAACGCGGCCGAGTTGGTAGGTGCCCGCGAACTAGGCACAGCACAGTTCGAGAGCAGCTTGAGTGCGTTTTCAACGGTTCGCGAGCACAATTGACTCGGCTGCGTTCGCCGCGGCCGCGCCTCAATGGTTAGGTATTGTCTGGGGGCCATATTATTTTGATTCTACTTGATTGCGCTTCATCGTCTCGACTCCTTTCGACCGCTGCTCTGTCGGAAGTTCTTAAGAATGTATGGCGGATGCTTTGAAAAATGCGATGATGGCAGCTGGATATTTCAATATCATTAACATCATATATCATCCTACCGCTGAATTACCTTCACATTCGACGCTTGCTGGTTGTTTACACCCACCATTTTAGCTCTGCACTCTATTGCGAGAATCAAGCGGTGAGCTTTAGAAAAATGGGGAGGCTATGGGAAGGTCAGCCAGAGCATTTCGTGATGAACTTAGAGTTGCATTCTTCAGCGGTGGAAGCTAATTTTCTACAGGCTATACAATTTCAACAAAGCCTGTCCTGTAATGTGCGCGGTAGCGTGTGGAGCTAAACTGGTGTTATCTCCAATAGAACCCTCAATCTCATTTTGTTGAATAGGTTCTGCGTCTTAGACCTTCAATTACATCATAGCCGGATCTTACATGACATTAATATTCATAAAGTTCTCCTCCCCTTCTCCCTACCCCCTCCCTCCCACCTCAAAAAACACTGCTCTGGCCAATATCCCAGACTTGTCCCAAATTTTCATTCAGGAACGACGTTAAATACCACTAAGTCCTGCAGCCATAAAAAAACACTGGTCGCGCTTTATTCAGCATTTGCATAGTTCAAAATCATATATCAAATATCTGAAAGAATTCCTTTTCCCCACCTTCTCCCTCGTTTACCTTGATTTTAAGTGCAACTCAACCTTATATCCCACTTCAGGACTAGGAGCATTTACCCGTTCCACTTCTTGAAAAAAAAACGCGAAAACAGTGAAGGAAGGAATACTGAGATGATTTGCTGAACTTCATCTAGCGAGCAGCACGACTTCCTACCTATGGTGTCTAAATGCATGCGCACACTACGTTCGCACTCGCACTTAATACGACGACAGGGCAGGACACATACATTTCTTACGTTGCAGGTCATGGCGTACGGCGCGGGACGTATGCCCTGCACCCATTACACTCATTTTTTTCTGCGCAAGCGCAATTCATTTCTAAGTTTTTGTGTTGCTTGTAAGGAAGAATTAGCATAGCTAGAACCCATTTTCTCTTCATGATTGTAAAGATTAAAAGTGCAGTAGAAGTAAATGTGCAACCTAAGGGATGACAACATACGTTTCGAGAAACAAGCAAGGTGAAATTGCTGTTGATATCCATTGCAGCTAACAAGGAAGGTCTTTCAGGGTTCGTTTCAGTCAACAGGCAAGCATTGGAAACAGTTCACATACTTCTGGACACAGGCGCAGATCGTTCCTTCTAAGTGAGAATCTTGCCTGTCGTCTTCAATTGAAAAATACTCATACAATTCGGTTGAGTATCAACACACTCGGCAATCAAAAATTAAAAGAAATAGAGTGCGGACACAGATCTACAACTTTTCGACCACGGCGGGAAATCCCATTGGTTCCAGGTCACTCGAATTCAACATATCACGGAAAATCTTCAAAGAATTGAACTTATACACGAAACAAACATTATATCGTAGAGAACGACATCAAATTATCAGTCAGCCGAGAATTTCAAGAAGTCCGTCCTGAAGTATTATTGGGATGCTGTGACGCATTTTCTCTGATCGATAAAGAGGATCAGTCATCAAAAATACTTCCATCAGGATTTCGACTGATACCCTTTCGGTTAGGATACCTCATTACGGGACCAGTCGACAACTAATTCCAAACACAACGATAAAGACTACCTCATCTTCTGTGATACAAGAGAGTAACCAGAAATGGGATGAGTTACTAGCCCTACTAAAACTCAGGAATTCAAGAATTCGTCGGCATCAAAACACAAGAGCTGGAGATGGAAAACGATAAAGTATGGAGAAATTTCAAAGCAACAATAGAGTACCACAAGAACGGATATTATGTCCAGTTACCTTGAAAAGAGGAGGCAGGTTCCCTACAGGATAACAAGCTCATAGCTTACAAACGGCTGCCTTATGCTAGCGAAACTCCAGACCACACCAGATATACTCCGACACTACCATCAAATCTTTGTAGAACAACTCAATAAAGGGATTATTGAAATGGATATCCGCCAACCGCCCACCGGAGAAATAATCCATTATCTCAGTCACCAAGCAGTCATCACTCGACAGAAGAATTTACAAAACTGAGAGTAGTGTTCGATGCATCTGCATTTTAAAAACCAACCGGCCTTCAACGACGTTCTCCACCAAGGACCAGTAATCTCACCAGTTAGCGAGAAATGCTGCTCCGCTTCAGGATTGGACATTGCCATGATAGCGGATGTGGAGAAGGATTTTCTGGAGATCCGTCTCAAAAGAGATGATCGGGATGCCACTCGGTGTCTATCGGTCAAGGATCACATAAAGCCACCTACTGAAACGAATGTCGTCGAATACCGTTTTACACGAGAGACCTTCGGGTTGAATTGCTCAGCATTTCTATTGGCAGGAACGATCAAATATCACCTGGAGGATAGCACCTATTATAAAGAGTTGGCACAGGATGTCTACAGAAACCTCTACGTGGACAACGTAATCCTCACGGCATCCAATGAACAAGAAGCGATAGAAAAGTACAAGAATCGAAAGCGATAATCGCCGAGATGAATATGAACCTTCGAGGATATCTCACCGAAAAAGTCAACAAAGATATTCCTTTACATGACAAAAGTATGCACAACGTTACGAAAGTCCTCGGAATTTGTTGGGATTCAGTAAATGATCACCTTGTCCTGAATACCCATTTCGCAAGTCATACCACAAGGACTATATCAGAGCATATCGCATCCATCTACGATACCATTGGCTGCTTAACTAAACTCATAATGAAAGGCGAACTATTCCTGCAACTTCTGTGGTCATTTGGATATGACTGGGACACGAAGCTTACGGAAGAACACACTGTGCAGTGGAACGAAGCAGTTGCCCAAATGGAGTCCTTCAAGCTAACGCTTCAATGACAAGTTTCACCTCTTCACTCAAATGTCAAGCTTGTAGTTTTGCCAGTACACAAGCTATGGTGGCCTGTGCATATGTGATAGCTAATAAATCACAACTTGTGTTTGCACGATCCAAGTTAGCCAACGTGAAAGCACATCCTACATTCCGCAAATGGAGATTTTTGCTACCACCATGGCTGTAAGGCAGAAACAATATTCAAGGCATTAGCCGATCAACTGAAAATCTCATCTATCGTTATTTTCACGGATTCTGGAATCGTTCTCATTTGGCTCGCAACATACCCGATCAAAAGAGATGTCGGCCGTTTTGTGACGAATCGAGTAGCAGAAATTCGTGCACTAGTGAATCATATAGACTGTCCCACATGGTTCGGACATGTTGCTACGAATGAAAATCCTGCAGACAGCGCTGCAAGAGGTCTTTCGGCGAAGGAGATAGAAACCCATTTGTGGTGAGAAGGTCCTGATTTCCTAAAACAGCCGGAAGAAAATTAGTCCGGAAAACGTCGACTGAATGCCCTTCCCGAAGAAATACACGCAGAATATAGAAGCTATTCAGCAAACGATTCTGAACACAGAAACAACCCTAAACATGGGAAACATCAACGTGGAACTTTTGGACTGGAACAGGCATATTACCCTTGACTCAGCCGAGACGTCTATAGCATACGCACTGCGATTTTTGAGGGACCTGTGTTGCCGTGTTCAAGAAAGTTGCGTCAAGAATAATAACGCAAGTTCCGGAACTCAGGATACGACCGGACAGCAAGTTCATCACGGTAAAAAAGAAAAGGAAAAGGAAAGCTGCATTACAAGTCATCGCATCAGAGCACCCATGTTACAGAACAACTGAAACGCTCACTGAAAAATCTCAATGTACAACCAGATCCGTACGGCATTCTGCGCTGTCGAGGAAGACTTGATAATGCGAATGTTCCTGAGTCCGCGAAACACCCCATGTTTGTGCCCAAGGACCCCACTCGCATCTTGCATTATCAGCGATGCTCACCTCCCACTCCATCTCGGCATTTCTCATACTATGGCAACGGTCAGAAGAGAACCTTGGATGCCAAAGCTTCGACAACAAGTTCAACGTCTAACTAGTAGATGTGTTCCATGCAGAGGATGAACGCATTACCATTCCTATATCGATAGGACCACTGCCGTAACGCCGCCTTATAAGAACCAAGCCTTTTGAAAATGTTGGAATCGACTACCTTGGCCCTCTCATCACAAGACGTGACGGCAAAAGCAAAATGTATGGAATAATTATCACATGCATGACGACTAGGATGATCCACATAGAAGTGGTTACAGACACGTCAACCGACAAGCTGCTCCTAGCCGTTCGAAGATTTTTTGCTCGTCGAGGAGTACCAAGGACAATTACCTCAGATAATGGACCTTCATTTGTTCTGGGAGATCAAATGATCAAAGACGCTATACTCTACATCACGAATGACGACGGCTTTCAAACCACAATAGCACGTAAAGGATTGAATGGACAACCAGCACGCCATACGCTCCGTGGCAGGGAGCCTTCTAAGAAAGGTTGGTTCAATTGATCAAGCATTCCTTTTACAAAGCTATGGAAATCGTCTATTGAGGGAGGAGGAGCTGACAACACTACTGACTGAGATTGAAGGTACTCTGTATACACGACCACTGACATACCAAGGAGCAGACTAAACCCCTACGACCTTTGCGTCCTATCGACTTTATCGTAAGGGATATCGAAGTTACATATCCCTTCGAGTCCTTACAATCGGATAACGACGACCCAGATTATCTACCCTCCGAGGAACTATTTCGTCTACAAACCAGAAGGCAGGCACAGAAAGCCCTTGCATCCTCGCTCAAAACGATGGGAAGCGTGCAGGAAACCATGAACCGAGAGAAGGCATGGTATTACTACTTGCTGACGATAACCTACCACGCAATCCCTGGAAAATGGGGAGAATATCGGCATTGAAACCTGGAAAAGATGGAGCCATAAGAGAAGTAGAACTGCATATGCCCAACGGAAACATTCCCAGACGTCCCATCAATCTATTACTCATCCCTCTAGAACTTAACGACGGAGCAGAACCTCCGAGGGAAAACCAACAACCTGAATCCGGAATCTTTCAACGTGCAGAACAGCAAGAAGCACCAAGACAATATCATCTTCGCAGCACAACACATACTGGTCCATCTAAACGACAGAGCAGAACATTGGATCAGAACGACAACATCATTGAAAAGCCGGGAGTATAGTGAAGAAAGAAGAAGTTTGCAATGAAAAAATGAATTTGTGATAATATGTGATCTCATTTGTTATTGTTAACCCGTATATAAAGGAGCAATGAGTAAGAACTTCATTCTTTTCATCCCGTGCGGCACTCCAGGAGGCGGCAGTCAACCTTCGTAATAAAGGTCGGTGACGATCGTGTTCTGTATTGTAGCAAGAAACACATAGTGAACCCGCGCGTATACCCCTGGGCAGCTTCTTTCTACTTAAAGTTACTTATAGTTTCGGATCACCCATGTTTTGCGCAATTACCACTTAACATCTGCTTGATTGAAATGAGGAGGTCGCAGAATCGTGCCGATCCAAGAAAGCTAAAACGCACGTTGTCGTCAACATGTTGAGTGGAGTTCTAGGATAATGCCAAAGCAAAGCTTCAATGCTGGCGTAAGCATAAAAAAGACCCATAGAACCACAAAAACCCTTAGGACATTTTCAACAATTTTTAGTAACAAAACAGTCTGGTTTTGAAAATTTCCTAGCGCTTCGTATAACGACGTGTTTGAATATAGAGATGTGACCTTTGAGCAGAGGAGGTCCGTAGTTGTTAAAGACTGAGTTTTCCTCTTCGTAATGAAGGGAAATTCGAAAGTTGGGGAATGTTCCAAAGTTTTTTCAAAGAAGAAGTCTTTTCGATCAAAGAGACACATGGATTGTTTGATTTTTTCACGAATTGAGCTGCTGTACGCAAAGGCGATGAAAAGCAGATTTAAACCTACATCTGATGTTGGAGAACTCCCTGCCGCGCACCAAGGCTAACGCCGCAACTCCGCTCCGTTGCGGCGTTAGCCTTGGAACGCGGCAGGTATCACCCAGACGTTGAGGGACCGGGACGCGGAGAAGGAAATACTTTAGAGGGCAATAACTTTCTTGCAACACACCTTCTTGAATTGTTAAGCTAGATTCAAACTATGCATGAGGTCCGCTTTCAGAAACCTACAAGGGCTATCTAACTTGCCGGAAAGTACTCCTGTTAAAAGTGGAAAACCCAAATTTCTAAGATGGCGCACCTCCAAGTTCGAAGGCCCATGATATCTTTCGTGTGCGACTTTTTGGAAAGCTGAAAAAGGTTCGGAAACTTCAAATATTCCTCTACAAAACAGTATAAAAAGTTTCGTGATCGACTCTTTTTTTCGAAAAACTCCCGTTTGCACATTTTACGTGCGAATGCGACTTTTTAGGCTTTCAGCGGCCATAATCACTTCTTTTTCATTTCTGTGGCCTCTTTTTGTATGTCAATAAAGTGCGCGATTTACTCTGTCTTAGAAGCACTAAACCGTTTCTCAATGTACATTTTCCAAGAAAATCACATGTTCGCACATTTTTTCCTCACAGGTTTTTGAGCAGTGCATTTGAGTTTTTGAGCTTTCAACAATAACTCCCTTCAAAAAGCTTGTTAGAGAAGGATGGAGACGGTATCCTACGATTCGGAAGAAGCGTCCCCAAAAAATTAGGTCTCTAAAGAACTTTATTTTCACTCCCGAGAGGTCAACCCTTCCATAACAATGCATTCAGTTGTTCATCATTTCGTGAGAATATATAGTGATGTTCCTAGAACTACCCTCTGCACATAATGAATCGAATCTTATACAGTCTACGCAAGTAAGTCTCGCCATTCGGATACGCCACACACGTTCCTGTGGCTGGCACTTGGAAGTCTATTTCAACTTGTGAAGACAGAAATTTTTTTTACAATGTGTTGTAGTTCACGCGGAGAACACTTCAGGACGAAACGGGCAAGCGTGAAAAAAATGATTATTTTGAATTCATGATAACTTCTTTGTGGGCGTTCCTCCCCAGTCCTTTATGCACCGATCACCTACTATCGCGATTTCGGTTGCGGGTCCTTGAAATTGCGCCCCCCTCCCTCGGCCCATAACCAAAATGCAACTCCATCATTCGAATAGTTGACCCTAGAACCAATCCCACCCCATTCAAAAAATTTATAGCCATCCAAGGTTCTAAACTCGCGTTCAATGACAACTGCCTAACAAAGCCATAGAGGGAAAAAATGGAACAACGAGACGATTTTTCGAAAGAGTAGTCATTCAATGTTTCATTGATTTCATTTCATTGACCATTCAAGAATTTAAATGTTATTTGAAAGGTCAGTCTTCTAGTTCTGATTAGCCTTGGCTGCAAAGGTTAGTAGTAAAGGAACTTCCGGACGTTTGAATGACGAAGACTCGGGCGTTCTCAAAAAACGGACCGCAAACCCCTGAAAACGGAACAGCGGGACCATTTTTTTGAGGAAGAGAGTCCTGAGGAAATATCTTTTACGGAAGTACTTATCTCCAGTTCCGAATTAGTCTTAAAGATTTGCAAAAGGTAATAAAGAAATATGGAATGAATGTTTGAATGAAGAAAACTCGCGTGACCACAGGAAATTGAACAATGGGACGATTTTTTGAAGAGCTAAGCATTTGCAACAGTTCAAAAACTTTTTTGAAAGAAAACAATTTGAAGTTTTTGAATTTCTGTATCGCATTTCATGAGACGACCTGGAGAAAGATATAACCTTCTACATGAGTAGTTCTGTATCGCAGCATAATTGCTGCAAAGCTTAGTTATTCAACTTATAAAAAAGGAGATTTGACACTTTGACAGAACTTATTAGGCTTGTGAGAGGAAGGCTCTGCAATTGCTGTCGGCCCTGGGCGCGAAAAATCGGAAATTACTTCTGTTTAATATGTAAAAATTCGTGTTGCCTCAATTCTCGTCCTCCAGCGAGACAAACGGCGCGGACTCCACTTTCAACCCTCTCTCCATGTAGGTGACGGCCCACACATCGATAATGGCCATAAAAATATGTATGTGAAAAGACACAAAAGCTAATACAGGGGAGTCGTAGTGATAATCTTTGAAGGGGAGGCGGTCGTAAAAATTTCGAAGCTCAACGCACGATTGACCCTGCTTCCAGTGGGGTCAGTATGGCCCTCTTGTACCAGCTATTTATGCCTATTTGCATATTTTTAAGCACACCACCAATGTATGTACCGTAATCGACTTGGAGGAGGTGGACAGAGGGAATTTTGCACAGAAAATGCGAATCGAGACCATATAAAATTTTACTCCTTAAACAGGGTTGTTCCTAACATTTTGCATTAACACAGGTACTCTTGTAATCGCAAAAAAATTTCAATTACGAAATTTTCTACAAACCTTGAGTCTCCCTTTTTTATCAGGAGCTAAGCCGAACCTCGAAGTGCACTAATGTAATCACGAACCATTCATTCAAGACGTTTTATCTTTCCCCAATTCTTGTTAGATAGGATATAAAATATCAAAACAACCAAGTGTATTCTTCAAATATTTGAAACTGTTGCGAATGTTCTCCTTTTTGAAATCGCCCCGGTGTTCCGTTCTTTGTGCACACGCAAGTTTTTACCATTCAAACGCTCTAACTTTTTCATGATCATAGAAATCTTTCCCGGAAAGATCATGCATTCTTTTTTGATACGCGTATGGCATTTGTGATCACTAGAGACAACATACAAAGTTTCACGATCAAAGATCGAGTTTCCGAAGAAAAAAGGTTGTCTCAGAAGTTCGTGCGTAATTTGAGCCTTTCCAGCCTACTTTTTCACGAATATGCATTATCTATCATCGATATATGCACAATCACTATCACTGACTTGTTGCCTACGGCTCGAAGAGTGGCCGCTTAACTCCCAGAAGGCTGGCAGTTACGAGCTGAAAAAAGCAGTGAGCTTGATTTCGAGGTGCCCACAGGAATCGTGTTCTTTGTGTGGAAGATGATTGCTAAGCAAAAAGAGCACAAGTCCTTCGAAGAGGGTTGATCACGGCTGCTCGTTGGACATGGTAGGACTTGTCGGCCAAGCCTCGATATCTAGAGTCGCGTCTTTTTCGAAAGCATCATCACGGTTGTCGTGAAGCGGACATACATTTTCGAGTTTTAAGGTTTGTTTGTTTGTTGGAGTTTGGTCGGCGTCTCTGCCGTTGATCACACTGGACTTGGCTGACTGCTGTAATGACGAATATGTCTCCAGTTAAGTCGAGAACGCCCCAAAAATAGGGAGAACCGACCTTGTGGTGAACCAGTCCATTTTAACTCGCTTCTATTATCCCGCCCCTGGGTTATTCTGATTTCTGGTTGTCATGAAAGCTATGCTTTTCAACTGCAGTAGTGGCTTTGTTCAACCAGCGCGTACGAGTGGAGTAGGACACGAATTATAGACGAGACTCGTGTCGCACTCCTGTCATCAGTGGGAAGCTCATGGCAGAGACTTTGTCAAACACTCCTTCGAAGGAGCGAGAACCTCTATGAACTATGCACCTAAAACAACAGGGTGTGTTGACCGCAACCGCTCAGCTTATCTCGTGTGGACTGGTTCTCACGAGAGAGCGAGGCTCCAAATCCGACACCGATAGCCTCCCTGAACGGAGGTTCTCCTACCAGCTGTAGTCGCTTGAGCGAAGAAGATCCATCCGTTTTGATACCTCGTGGCTGGCAAGGACAAGGAGATGGATCGTAAAGCAGATGCCTCTTCCGGCTTCGATAGGTTGGTGGCTTAGTAGAAGTTCTTAAGTCGAAGCGTGGAAAAATAGCTTCTTCTTTTCGCATTTTAATCTCGAAAAAGGCAACTAGGAAGGGCATGACTCGGTTTTAAGCTGGTACAAGTTGTGCCCTCTCCACAGCCTATTAGAATTGAGGAGCTTGTGACATGAGATCCAAAAAATACGCGCGAACTTTTGAGACACATAATACAAAAACCACACTGTATGGACAATCGAAGGGAAGTGGCGTGGAGTCAAAGACGGGGCAGTGTGCCCCTTGGAGCCACGCATAGGAAGCACCGAGCTAAAGCGTGCTCTTCTGGAAAATAGCAACAAAATGATCGATAGAATGGATTGCAGAAGCGTGAGATGCTCGCTGTCGTATGATGAATCTCAATCCAGAGGCTTGTCAAATCTAACTTCATTTTTGGGATTCATGGGTGAGTTATGG